TGTACAATCTTGCTTTACTCCACCAACAGGGATTAGGAGTTAAAAAAGATATGCGAACAACTATTCAATTGTTCGAAAAAGCAGCTGCTCAGAGTCATACAATATCAGACAAATCACCCATTCCGAATGTCGGTGTAGCAGAAGCTGAACATTCTCTGGGATTATGTTATGAAACAGGTGTCGGTGTCGAAATAAATTACAAAAAAGCAGCTGAGTGGTATCAACGTGCATCAGATCATGGTAGTGCACCTGCTGCCAATAATTTAGGACTCATGTATGGTGCTGGCAAAGGTGTCAATAAAGATTTGATTAAATCAGAGCAGTTACTTCACTTATCTGCTACACGTGGCGATCGAAATGCGCCAATGAATTTAGCTCTAGCGCTCTTCAAAAAACAAGACTATCAAGCGGCAGAAGAATGGTGTAAACGTGCTAGTGAAAACAACAATATGCTGGACAAAAACCGTCTGAAAATGATTCAAGATGCAGCCGAACAAGAGCGCCAAAGGTTTAAGGATGCAGGTGTTGAAACATGGGAAAAACAGAATGGTTTTAATATTAATAATTTGACTTATACTGAGCGTATTAAACGTAAAAGACTCGCTGAAAATCCATCGTCTGACAAAGCATTTAGTGCCGCAGAAGATCTCACTAAAGTGTTCCAGTCATTAAAACCTGTACCACAACCATTTGGTGGTAAATCGCGAATGTATGATCGTACAATGCTTCAAGAATATTCACAGAAAGGATATATTTTTGCTCAAAAACTATTAGAAGCGCAAACTTATTTCCTCAAATCGGTACAAACTTTATTGAATGAGTTTATTAACGTCAATGATAAGGACGTTCAATTTATAATAGAACTGTCTGCAGCTATTAGAATACAAAATATTGTTATTCAACTGCCAGAGGATCTGCATAATGAAGCAAAGCTTATTGCTGATCGTGTTCTAGCTCGATGCGATTCAAAGGAATCACTATTAGATGAAGATGCTCGTGTCTGTTATGGATATTTGCATATGAATTCATTACAATCTACTATCGAATTTTTGACAGTTTGTATTCGAATGTATTCGAAGTCAGACTTCTTCTTAGAACTCCGCGGTTGTCTGTATGGTTTTCTTGGAAAATACGACGAAGGTTTGGCAGATTTCAACGCCGCACTTCAACTAGTTCCCGATGCTGTAGAGTTATTGTATGATCGTGCTGCTTATTTGAGACTCATTAAACATATTGATTTGAATGGGGCGATAGAGGCATACGATACATTTCTGAAAAGCGCACCACTCGATCATCGCAAGAGACCTGAAGCATACTATGCAGTTGCGTCTTGTTATTTTGTGAATACTACAATACCTAATCACGTTGAAATTGCAGAAAAATATTACGAAAAAGGCATTGAAGCTGAAAAACAGCAGCTACCCTGCTTCTTACCCTACGAATCGAACAATAAATCATTAGTATCAATGTTCTTTTCACTCAAATCGATGAAGTCTAATAGAGCATCGACTGAATCAGTAATCGACACGGGAAAACCCAAATCACGTCTTACTGATTCTCGACGCCTTGATATGATTCAGTTTCATCGAAATTCTATTGCTGAAAAACGTAGGCTTCCACCAAACATGAATTTCGTAACCTCAACAATTAAAGCTCGTCTGCATCAAAAGTCACCTATGTCATTGATTGGATTGAAAGGAATTACTCTGCGCGATATGAATCCAATGAAAGACCATATTTATCAAGGATGTGTCTTATCGGGAGTGATTTTCGAACAATCGCCAGTGGTTGAACCATCTATATGGTTACTATTTGAAGATGACAATGGTGATCTAGAACGACTCTTTTTGTACAATATTCCAGCGTCTGAAGGTTGGCAATTAATAAAAGACACATATGTTTACGGCACAAAAATAAGTATTTTAAATCCATATATGCGCATGGCGGCTGATGGGAAGCCGGCTATTCGTGTGGATGATGCTTCGTCAATTATTTTACACGGAGGTACTCACAATGTGAAAGATATGTGTCGATATTGTACTAAAGCAAATGCAGCACGTGTTTGTGGAAAATGCAAATCAGCTCACTATTGTTCAAAAGAATGTCAAACAATTGATTGGAAGCAATGTGGTCATAAATTAGTTTGTGACTGACTTGTCTGGAAATTATTCTTGAAAAAAACAAATTTTATTAAACAAAATAATTATTTGTATTTAATTATAAAAAATTTGTTTCCATTTAATTTAAAATGAATGACACGAGTCATCTAAATAAATTAAGGAACATGAAATGAATCTAATTCTCTTTTCATTTTTCTTTGATATTATATTAGGGCGTATGAAAAATCAATACAATACCTCCATCTATATTCATTCTATGTGTCAAAAGAAAGTAAACAAATGCCACTCATATAAAGAAGAGTAGTAAAAAACGAAAATACGCGATGGTTACGAACTATTTCTGTTCTTATTTTGTTGTAGAGAAAAACATGAAACTTGAATCATTATCAAATGAACTATTTTTTGAACTATTTGAATGTCTCGATGGTGTTCATCTAATTCGTGCTTTTCATGATCTTAATTTTCGATTCAATAAACTCCTATTCGATCATTTTCGACAATTTCAATTTGATTTTCGATCGATATCTAAGCGTGATTTTGATTTTATTTGTCAACAATATCTTCCATTGATTATTAATCGAGTCACTTCACTTAGTATTAGTGATAATGAAGAAACCTCAGATTTATTCGATCATCTTCTTACTTATGGTTTTACTTTACATCAATTTACTTGTTTAAAGTCACTCTCATTCTTTCACAAGAAACTCAATAAAATTTTAATAGAATCTATCTATCTTATTCAACTAACACACTTAAAATTGATTCAATGCTATTATAATAATCATGAAGATGAACTTGTTGATTTGATCAACACTATATGGCGTCTACCGAAATTGACACATTGTTATCTAGATTTTGAGTATGCATATGGTCGATTATTCAATAGATTAGATGTTATTTCATCATCGATCGAATGCATATCATCACCATGGATGCAGTGCTCCTCAAAAGATTTCCAAAATCTACTTGAACATACACCTCGACTTCGACATCTCGATGCTATTTGTTATACTGTTACTAGGAATGATTTATTAAAAACTATCGTTCCTACAATCACAAAATTGCATGTTATATTCATTAGTGCGTCAGAAACTATAATGATCAATCTATTTCAATCTATGCCAAATTTGACTAAATTAACAGTTCAATTATTTATCTATCATTTAAATGGACATCAATGGAAAGAAATCATTGTAAACTATTTACCTAATATTAAACTATTTCGATTTTCAATGAATTTTCAATCATCGATACATAATGCAGACACAGAAAAACAACTTAATGAATTACTCGATACATTTCGAACATCATTTTGGCTTGATGAAAATCACTGGTATGTTCGATGTCATTGGGATTCACAGGATATAATTCAAAATGCTCATATCTATACATTACCACATACTTTTCCATATTGTTTTGATAGAACAAGAAAGCCAAGATTGAAATTGAATGGATGGTGTAGATCGACTTGTCCGAATGATCAAGAATTGTGGTCTTATGATTATGTGCGTGAGAGTCCACTTACAAGAGAAATTGAGGATTGGGCATTATCACCAATGAGTTTTCCTAAGATTAATACATTACAAATTGTTCTTCCTACACATGAAAGTATTTGGTCAATTATTCCTACATTGAATTATTTGACTTCATTAACTATTTACATATTCGGCAACAATGCACAATTTCAACTTCAAGCTTTACTCGATCGTGCACCTCATCTCTATTCATTAGCAATTAGAAATGATTCAACCTTTCAATTTTTACAATGGAATATTAGGAGTGTATCAATACGTCGACTTGATCTGATGCAATGGGAAACTGAAAATCATTTATATTGCAATGCTGCAACATGTTTTACATTGATCAATTCATTATGGAGACATCAATGTGAAATTCTTTTAATTGACATTGAAAATCGATCAATTATAATTGATCTTATCAACAGAATGTCAAATCTTCGATCATTGACTGTTCGTTGTTATGATGATGAATTGAGCAATTCTCATTTATCATCAGCGCATGATGATTTTATAGATTGGTTAAAAATTTGCTTACCATCCAAGTGTTCTATTCGAAGGCATAAATCTGACATTAACATATGGATTAATAAAGAAAACTAGGAAATATAGGAAAGATCTTGATATACCTACATTTTGTAAGTTTTGACTAAACATAATTATGTAAAACGGAAATAACTATATCTTTCATAGTTGTTGATGAAAATGAATTAAAAGTTTCATTTGGAATTTTTAACAGATCATTTAATTTCGATGACGTCTTTATCAATAGATTCCTGACTGTCAACCATGTTTTATATTATCAATCATTAGTTTTTCTTTTTCTCTAGAAATGAATTTATGAAAATTTTATTTTTAGAATAGAATGCTGACATAAAATATAGTTTGTTATCTAAAGTCTACGTTTAATAAAAGTTAAAATAAGTGGAATTAAAGATAGTGTGGTATCTTTGCCATGTTCATCCCAAAATTTGATTGCAACTGGTTGTGCTAATTTAAAAAATTCGATTATTTTCGCTTGCATAGTTATCCAAAACGATTGATTATCCGAAATTGTAAAACACCAAGCAGCAATTTTATCATCTTTCAATGATGTTAAAATACCAAAAATAAGTTCATTTATTCCTTCCGCTTCTTTCCATACATTAAGTTCTCTATCTTCATAGACAATACTATTCACCGACGTACATAGAGCAACATCACCATAATATTTTATATTTGTTTCATCTCGTGTTATGTTATGATAACGAGTAAGAAGTGAATGAAAATCTTGTAATACTTGTTTACGTCTTTCCGATCCTCCAGAATATTTATTTGTACAAACTAACGCACAAAAGATGTTTGATTTGATACAAGTATCGACAAGCCATTGTAATTGATCAAGTTGTGCAAATGATCCAGGCGATGCACAATAAATCATACAAAGTGGTTTACTTGTATTCATAATTCTTGAAAAATAAGTTCGAACATGCTCTTCAGTCCACGATTCAATACCTGGAGTATCATAAATTGTAATAGTATATGAAATTGAGCTTGTATGATCGTTTCCATTAATAAGATATTTTTCCATTCGATCAGTTTGTGCACATAAACTATTACTTGTTCGTGCAACTTGTTTTCCACAAAGAGCATTAACAAGTGTACTTTTACCAACACGTGCCGAACCACAAATAGCAATATTAAATTCTTTAGACATGTTTATTGTTGAAGACTAATCTAAAAAAGAATACAGTATTCATTTCTACTAAGTTTTTTTCTTGAAAAAGTAATTATTCCATTAAGCTAAACGATTCGCTGCAGTTCCATCTAGTTTTTTTTTTCAATAAGAACATCGATAAAGTACAGCATAATATCAGCCAAGTAATTCATCATGACATCCGATAGAATTAGTGTGAAATGTTAGTTTATTCCATAACCGAACACTAATCCATACAGAAAGAATGATGATACATCGCACACTCAACATATAGAACAGAACAATATATACCGCTACCAACGCCTTCTCTCATGCAAACACACATTCCAACACATCCTCTCTAACTCAGAACAACAAAGTATGGAAGAGGAGCACAAAACAAATGAGAGGAGTATGAGTGGAAACAAACAAACTTGAGAAAGAAGAGAATGTATCATGTGCAGAGCTCCATTATTAAAGAACGTTACTTTATGAAGATTTTGCGAATATGATTGTTAAAAAAATTTCTCAATTTTTTTATGTTCTTTTTGAAATTCGTCAATAATCATAATGAAGTACAATAAATTATGCTCACTTCGGCTGCCTTATTATTCTGTAATTCGATACCAGGAGTAACATAAAAAGTAATTTTGTAGATGAATATATTTTTGTATTGATAATAATGTTCATCTAAGATTTTATGTACGCTTGTTAGTAGAGTATGGAATTGTTCCGTGTCTTAATAATTTAATTCATACCCTTTGAGTCGGCTCTCAAAAAAAACACACAATCATTATTTACTTGTAAATTGGATTGACGACTATTGCAATACTAGTTAATTTTGTTCCTACATATTATCAAAAAATGTTTGAAGACGCTCACCACGATATTCGTATTACGTTTTGTATAAGAAGAAAAATAAAGTCGGTGTCGTTTTTTTCTCTTTCTACATCAAATATTGTTATTACTCGATATGTTTCATTACCTCAAGTCACAAGCGATTTTAAATGGACATGAAAAGAACAGAAAATAAACCATGTGATTATGTGTACATCACTGGGTTTTTTCCAAGTAGACAAAACAACGTGCAATACAATTTGTTTACGAAGATCAAATGAAATATATCAAACATACTATGAAAGGGTGTGGATAGAGATGAGTATGTAAAGTATGAATATTTGTTCTTTATTCAAACACCACACATCCACCTCAATTATGTATTCATCTAACATCTTTATTCACAAAAAAGAAAACTACAGAAATAAGTACACATAATCTCAAGAAAAAAATCCTTAATTGTTTCTTCATATTCTTAAATAAACTTCATAAAGTTTTTGTAAATAATTCTGATATTGTTAAGCTTCACGAACTAAATTGATCCGGTCACCATTATTTGCGATAATATACAATATTTTGTCATTACGTATTATCTTTTGTATATTCTGAATAAATTTGAAAAGATCATTTTCCATTGTCCGTTGTTTATCGTCTAGGATATACATTTCTGTTGTGGCACATTTAGAAGATTTCCATTCGTCAATAGCAGGATCAAATTGTACAGAACACCCGAAGCTATTAATTATATGTGCACCAATATTATATGAGTCTTCTTGCTGATTGTATTTAATTTGAAGTATATAACCATTGAATTCAGAATGTTCCGGAACTCCAAGAATTGCCCAGTTGCCTTTAGCATCAATTAATGGTAATGATAAGATGGTATTTTTTTCAATAAAGCAGAATAATATTAAAATCCAAAAGGCAAATGAAGAAACAATCACTTTATTTTGATTCATAATGTATATATTTTCTCAATTATCCTTAATTATGAGCAAATGATAAAGAATATCGTTGTTTTAATCATCCCAGAGAACAAAGAAGCGATATTCATTGTTGAAAATTGAATGAACTTCACCCCAACAGAAAAAAAGACGAAAATGCTGCATAGATGTCAGCAGAGGATGATAAAAAAAGATAGTTTGATATAGGTGTAGATGTTCTATTTCATCTACATCCACCCCTTTCAGCAGAAAAACGCAGGTTTTATTATTTACTAATGCTGAAATCTATTGCAAGGGCTTCACTACTCTTCATAAGTGTTCGTTTCCGTTAAGTTGTGAATATTATAATATCGGCTAAAGAATGATTGCGTAGGCTGAAAAGGAAATATTCGAAAGACGACATCATTACTTCCAATAGGCTCTAAACTGAGTCATGATGATTGCTTTAAGAGATAAGGATTACTATAGTTCTCGATGAATCATTTTGTAATACCACATGTGATTATTTTTCTCATAAAGTGTTTCGCAATATCTATCTATATATATAGTTTCATTGTCATACCTATGCAATTTTAATAATAAAATTTCAAGTATGTTATATGAAATGCGATCTTGGTTCTTCCGAAATTCGTCTGAATGGTCATTGCATAAATTGATGTTCGACATAATTCTCACTCTAAGACCATTCAATTTAATTCAATGGCTTATTTTGACAATGATTTCAATGACATTAAGTACTTATTTAAATGTATCTTTCTTTTCCACCGTCTCAACTGATGTTGAACAAGGTTTGAAATATCTTTTTTTAATGATCATATTTGAGAATATCACTTCGTATTGTTCATTGCAACAAAGTGTAGCTAAAAAGACATTTATTCTTGATTTTCTTGAACGTTTTCGAACAAAACTAAATCAAAGAATTCTCAGTACTAATTGGATTAAAATCAAACTATCTGATCAAGAAGATATTCGACAAAAAATAGAGAAAGCTTGTTCTTCTACTGAATGTCTTATTGAAGACTTAATTGATCAATTCAGAAAAATCTTTAAATTAATTTTGGCAATCATTACCATATTCTACATATGTCCAATAGCCACGATCTTAATTGGAATTATTTATATATCTTCCTATTATTTCTATTTACATCAACAAAATACCCATTTACTCGATCTTAAAAAAGAAATCTCCGAAAAATATAACAAATTATATTTAAAATATTTTCGTGCAAAATCAAATATGTTTGAATATGTAATTCATCATGAAAAAAATAAAATTATTCACTTGACTAATGAATTAAAGATTGATATGGACAAACAATGGTTTTCTCTTACTTATCTTTATCATTATTTATCATTCAAAGAAGATATACTTGGTGAATTATGTATATTTACAACGATTATCGTTTATTATATATTAAATGGAACTAGTACATTTATCATTCCATTGTATCATCATCTAACAAAACTCACATATACTATGCATTCGATACTTATGTCATATATTCGTTGGATAAGGTTAAAAAAAGATTATGATCTTGTTAGACCAATACTTGAAGAATATGATGAACGGATGAATGTTGAACAGATCGATTTACAATATGAATTTCAAATTGAAAATCTTTCATTTAAATACAAAGGAAAACGAGAAGAATTTCATTTGCAATATAATGGTTGTTTGAATTTTAAAATCGGAGAATCAATATTGATCACAGGAAAAAGTGGCGCAGGTAATATTTTTTTCACCTTTGGTCTGATAACAGATTGCATCATCATAGTGTCTTATAATTCTATTTTTAGGGAAATCGACATTCTATGATATTATCAATGGTTCAATTCCAATGAGTGATTATTCTGCTAAAATAAGAATAGATAACGATCAAAAATCGATAACAACAACTGTTCACTCAATTGAAAAATGTCGTACAATGGTTTTACAAGATAGTAATATGGATTATCGATCATCGATCTATAGTATGATCACAGATATCGATCAAGATGATTTAAAACAAAAAAGAACACCGGAAATTGATTCACTTGTATGGGAATTACTTCATCTCGTTCAAATCGATGAATTTATTCAAAATGAATTGAAAAATGATTTAGATCAACCAATGGAAAATAAACTCAGTGGCGGACAAAAAACAAGATTATTATTAGCACGAGCTTTGTATCGTGCTCATAATCGTAATTCTTCACTATTGATTTTTGATGAACCGGATAAAGGTCTCCCTGCTGAGACTACAGTCACTATTATTAATAATATTATAAAATGGTACCGATCAAAGGGTATTCTTTTTCTTACATTACATACTGAGCAAGCACATTTACTCAACTTTGATCAAATTTTACACATTGATCAAGGAACGATTACAAAAATTAAATAATATCAATAGCGGAGACAGTGCAACATTATAATCGAGATAAATGTTTTTTTTTATATATATTCTTGAATAAAATAAGCTAAAATATTAGTTATATTCTACTAATCATCCATCCACATACACCCTCATGTAAAAAAATTAGTCTTTGATTAAAAACGATTTCATATTAAAAATATATCAATATAATATTGTCATATTTTATTAAGTCTTGCGATTTTTGATATCTTTTTCTTTTTCGGTTTCTATTTTTGATTTTATTTCTTGAGCTGAACCTTGTAATGAAAAGTTTTTGACTGTTGGACGTATATCTCTAGATCGGCGCTTGAATTGTTCTGCTTTCTCTATTGTATCTTGATTTTCAGAATGCTTTTTAGGTCCGAAAACGTCTTCAGCACCTTCCGCTAGCTGATCGATTGCTGATTCATTATCACTGTGAGCGTCTTTTGATTCCTTCTTATCTTCTTTTGATTTCTTCTTATCTTCTTCTGGCTTAAAACTATCAAGAAGATGCCTGGATTTTTTTAAAGGCTCTTTTATTGAATTGAATGTATCTGTTGCATCGTTCCATGCACCCGGTATGACTAAGTCAATTTCATTTTCTTCCCACAATATCCATAAGAGACCCATACATGAAATCAGTATGAGTGTAATCATAACAATATACGTTAAGGATGTTATACTGATTCGAAAGTCTGACATTAAAACAATTGCGGCAATAACAAGTATGGGTATCAAGGCGTAAATAAGGAAGACAAGTATAACAAGAATCGGATGTTGGTATAAGCGTAGATCCAGAACACCGAGACGACATGGTATTGTGCAGCACCCACCATGACATGGTTGAGTAAATCGATTAATACCTACTGTTTTTTCCATCACACGACGTATGCCAGTTGATACACCAAGGCGCTGTTGAAATACAAAATATAGGAGTCGTATAAAGACTTCTAGAACAGATCCCAACGCAGTTAATAATCCTGTACAAGCACCAACTTGTGTCATGACATCAGACACTGTAATATCACGTCCAATCCAACGAAAACATGTCGCACTCTTGATGGATGCTGGCAGAGTAATTGAAATATCAGGTGTACAATTAAAGTAAGTACCACTGGAACCGTAATAACAATCCATAACACCATAGTATGGACATGGACCGTCTGCATAAACAGTAATGTTGGCCATGAAGCAACCTTCGAAACCAGCAATAATAACAGCGGAGATAACAGTTACAGTTAGAATCAAAATTACAATTGTGTTTCTCTTTTTGTTTAAAGTAAGAAATTTACCGTACACGTTCAGTACTTCTCGTTCATGCTCTGAATGTGCCGGATGAGATCGGTCAATTTCCTTGACTGTTTCATTTTCTGTGGACCTTGTTTTTTGTAATGATTGCGACGAGGATGACGGCACATTTCCAGATTGTTTTGTTGAATCTTCCACATCGACTTTTGAAATCCAGCGGCGCCGTTTATTTTCATTTACTTTTTCCACATTATGAGCAGGTATGTCTTCTTGGCGCGATCCATCCGAGGATGCTATAGTATCGTTCTTCGATATTATCAGATCTTTTTTATCAACGTCTCTACAGCAACTAGTCAGCTTTGAAGCGAAAGTGGTTAATTTCTTTGTGCAAACACTTGGAGCATGTACTTCGTGATTATGTCGAATAATTTGATGATCGACGTCAATAATGCAACGTTTAATATTAAAAAGTTTAGCAACCATACTGTAAAATATGTTACGAAAATTCTGGAATAGAAATACCACAACAAAGGAAGTGCAATAAAAAATACTGAAACCAATCATAATATTACAAAGAATCCAATTCCAATATGTCCAAGCCATTTGTCAACGGACAATACAATGTTATTATTTGAAAATAAGCCTTCGTACAAAATTATAGACGATCGAACAACTTTGGCAGTCGTAGAATATCTGTAAATCAATAGATAAACAAATAGATTAATATAATAGTCGATACGAAAAAATAATCAACAAACTCTTCTCTTTTCTTTTTATAAGAGAACAAATGCGACAATCGAACGATTACTTGAATATTTTAATAATCCTCTGCGACACCAACGGCACTTTACCACCAAGAGAATAAAAAAA